ATCCATTCATCTTCCATCTATCCATTCATCCATGCATCATCAATCCTTCAGTCTAACATGCATTCATCAATCCATCTATCCATTCATCTTCCATCCATCCATCCAACCATCCACACATCATTATCATCCTTCCATCTAATCATGCATCCATCAGTCCATCTATCCATTTATCTTCCATCTATCCATCCATCCATGCATCACCATCCATTGTTTCATCTGATCATTCATCCTCCAGTCTGTCTATCCATCCATGAATGCATCATCATCTGTCCTTCCATCTAATCATATATCTGTGAATCCTTGCATCCATCAACCCTTTCATCCACCCAACCTTGTATTATGTAATCACTTATTTGAGTAAGCTACCACAAATTCTAGGTGCTGTACCAGAGGATGGGAATAAAATGATGGCAGTGAGCAACCAACCTTTCCATCAGTCAATTTTCACATGACACTCAGGTTTTATGTTTATTAGCTCACAAATGTGCTCTTGCTATTCCCACGATTAAAATACTTCCATGGCTCTCCACAGGCTTAAGGATTAAGTAAAAATAGAAAAGGCTCTCCAGCCCCTGTCTTACTGTTTAGGCTTATCTCCCTCTGCCCCCCTCAAAGGCCTCTCCAACCAGCATCACACCCACCATGTTCTGCAAGGAACCAGGCCTTTCCCCATGCATACCAGGTTCTGCATTAGACAATTTAAACTATTTCATGTTTAAGAACAGCTCTGAAAATAGTTATATTATATTTGATAGGGCAAGTTGTACACAGTCTAAAGGCTCCTTTCATATCTCAATCTGTGTGAATGGTACCACCCAGAGTTGTGCAGTGCCCAATTTGTACATCTGCACATGGTGACCCACTCTGCAAGATAAGCATAGCTTTGTGCATATTATTATCTAAACTTGTAGAAAAAGAGAGTCATGGAATTCACAAGATTTCAGAGGGGTTCAGAATCTTGGAGAGGTGTAAATGTTATCTGGTCTGGGCCTCTTTCAGAAACTAAAAGTCTTTGTAGAACATTCCTATCGAGTTGTTGCCTAGCTTTTGTTTAAATATCACTAATGACTGGAAACTCTTTAAAGGAATTACGCATCTGTGAACAGATTTGCCTATTTGAAAGTTCTTTAAATTGCACTGAAAAAATGTCTCTTGAAATTTTAGTTTTACTCATAGGTCTTAGCTTTGCCCCATAAGCCCAGCCAGAACAAATGTACTTCCTTCTCACCACAGTGGCCCACCTGTTATCTGCAGACAGCCCTCAGGGCTTCCATGCATCTCTTCTGCCTCACACTAACCTTACTAAATCCTTCTGATCTTCCTCTGGCCAGGTTTTGTGGCCCCCCTTTCCTGGCTGGCATATCTACTCTTGGAGACATTGACCGCAGGGTCCCCTGGGGGGAGGAGGGAAGGAGATGAGGAGACCCCACCCAGGTTTTCTCTTCTAGCTTAATTTCTTCTTTCCAGGCACTCCCAGCTTCTCTTGGGGTCCCATGTGTTTCTCTGAGGTCAGAGTCTTGAGTGGCACTTGTGTGAGGCACTGTCCCACCCTATCTGGGAAGTGGAAATCCTTCTTACCTAACAAGCAGAGGTCTTGGGCAGCAGAAAAGTTGCTGATGGCAGCAGTGCTGATGTGCATAACATCAAAGTTCTTGATGGATGGATCAACAACTACTGAAGAAAGGGCCAGGGGCTGCCACAAGTCCAGAGAGACTAGGACAGAAAGCAGGGGACAGTCACACACAATTATCACCTGGTGCATAACGAAGACAGCAGAACACTCTCCAGTGTCCCCAAAGCTAGCCTCAGAGGCATACCCCTGTGGTTACATTCTCGTGTGACCCTATGCCTTTATCTGCCTTTCCATTCTACAATTCTTTATCATTTATGAGCCAAGCTCTGTGCTCAAACCTAGGAACACAAAATTTGAAGACAAAACAAAAAGCATGAGTATTTATATCAAAAAGCTCATAGTAAAATGGCAGAGAAGTCAAGATAAGAAAATATCCAGATGAAGTTGTTACAGAGCAATAGAACAATACTAGGTGATAACAATGATACCGAACTTCTCAGGTTTATCATGGGGTACTGTGCTGAGGTCTCACAGACACTGTATCCTTTGATCCTCCCCAAGCCTGTTGTTCTCCCTAGTGGATGCTGTGGTGTGTTGTCCAGGCCTCCCTGTAAGACCAAGGCTCTCATTTCCCCAACTGCTGGGAGGTTGGCAGCGTGTGGCTCCCAGATGAGCCCTTCTCCAGGAATTTCCCTTGTCCTAAGAGAGTTGCCTCCCCTTCCCAAGGATAGCCTGTATCCCCAAACTAGTCTATGTGGGTAGACAAAGGCTCAACCCCTTGGTTTCAGGATGGTACAACTCCAAAGGGATAGCTCAGCTCCAAAGCTCACTGGTGGATAAGTGGGGCCGTTGTTTACACTTGATCTTAGCCAAAAGGCCGAGAAGCGATGGGGGCCACTGTTTAATTTGCATCAGAGTTCTTCTTCCTGTGCCCCTCACTTCCTTACAGGTGCTGATCCCAAGAGCAGCCTGTGTGAAACTTATTGCATGCAAATCTCCATCCCCCAAGTTCATTTCCTAGAAAACCCCAGCTAAGATGTCCTCTTTTAAAGATGAAGAAAATGAGACACAGAGAGATTAAAATGACTTGCCTGAGAGTTCACTGGCCCTAAGTGCTGGAACAAGACTGGCTTGCTACTAAGAAGCCTATGTCCTCCCACTGCTTGCTGTCTGGTCTCTCTCCCAGTCCCGTGCACAGGACATGAATATCTCCACACCAGAGAGGGAGCACAGCTTGAGCAGAGGTGCACAGGTCTGTTGTGATGCATCCCATTTGGTGCAAAGGCCATGGCTGGAGCCAGGCTGGGTGTCCCTTTGAGGACAGAGCTGATCCTGAGCAGTGGTCAGGGTCTGTATTATACTGTCCATTAAAAAGTCCAAATGTTTTGCCCCAACATAGGCTTCCATAGCCATTCAAATGTGCTAACTCTAGAATACCCTAAAAAGATGTTTAGTGAGGCCATTACTAACAATTATGGAGAATCAATCTCTCTCTTTCTCTATTTATTTTTTGCTTTTGTCTTTCCTTTTTTTCACCCAGTAGACCGCTGTAGTATACCCTTTTAATAAACATTTGTGAGCATTAACCTTGTGTTAGTGGAACACAATGGTGATCTGAGGTGCAGCATTTTACAGTTTACAAAGTGTGTTCACTCCATTATGAGCTTTTCTTCCTACAGTACCCACAGGAGGAGTGGACCAGGGGCTATAGTGCCTTCTCCACAAATGAGGAGTCAGAAGCTTAGAGAGGTTATGTGACTTTACAAAGAAGGAGGAGCTGGGAAGTGACCGGGCCAGAATAGATCAGCCCTCTTGGCTATAGATCAAGGTTGTTTTCATAATTGCCAGCATAGCTGAGCACCCTTCCAGAACATCATCCCCAGGGGAGAAGAGAACTCTGCCTTTAATAGCACCATGCTCTTGGCTATATGAAGAAGCTTATAATTTTTACTTTAAACCCATCTTTGACATCCAGAACACTTGTGGAGTCAGCACTAAAATTAGCAGGGTAAATAAAACAACAAAACTACCTACCTCCATGTCTTGGCTGCAACAATGAGACATTACAGAGTGGAGTCCTAAATAACAAATACATATTTTTCACAGTTCTGGATGCTGGGAGTTTGAAATCATGGAGGCAGTGCAGTTGGGTTCTTGGCCCCCCCTTTCTGTTTTATAGACAACTACTTCCCTGCCTCACCTTCATAGGGCCCAGAGCACAGAGAGACAAGCCCAGACATGTCTCTTCTCAGAAGGGCACTAATCCCATAACTGAGGCATCACCCTCATGACCTAATCACCTCCCTAAGGCACCATTTCCTAGTACCTTCCTACTGGGGGTTTTGGGCTTTAACATACACATTTGGGGCTGGGGGGTGAGACACAGCATGCCATCCACTGTATGTCACTATTTCTTTTTTTATTTAAAAAAAAAGGAAAAAGAGAGAGAAAAGATTCATATAGAGAAGTTACAAAATAATGCAATCAGATTTAACATAGGGTCAGCCAGAGGAAGGCAAACCCCACACTCTGTCCCGAAGCAGTGGGCTCCATCCTCTGAACCAAGTGCTGTGTCTTTTCCAACTTGGGACCCGACTTAATTACAAGAAATGTTGGATTTTTGAGTTCTGAAACACCCTCCACATGTTGCTATTTTCATGGTCACTACAAATGGCATTTTTGCAACATGACCAAACTGAGCTGCATAGTTTTAGAGGGTGAGTACACTGCAATTTTAGAGAAGAGTTATGATGGGCTTTCAGGACCAAACTTGCCAATTATGGCCTTAAAATGGAAGCCTTGGCCACATTCCATGTTTAGGCTGAAGTGTAGAGGTGAACACTGTAATTGAAGAGCGAATTTCATCCTCAGTGAAAGCCAGCTTCTCTGGCGCCACTCCAGGGCCTGCAGCCAAGTCCCTGCCATGCCTGCACCCACCTCTTCCCTGGCTGCCCAAACCCCCTGGATGAACCACTGCTATCACTCCAATATGGGGGGGGGCCACATATGCATCTTGTGAAAATTCTGAGAACAAACTCTGTGGATGCAAAAGCATGAAATCCAGGGATCTCGGTAGCATTTTGTGAGAGTTTACTATCTGCCAGGAACTGGCAACACAGTTGCATTTAATATTCCTGATAACCCATGAAGTAGGCACTGTAACTATTCAAGTTTCACAGATAAGGAAGCAGGTGATCCAGTAACACACCCTTTTGCTTAGCCAATTGGCTTAGCCGCATTAATCTGGCCAATTAAATGTAGCACTATCTAGGGCAGGAGCCAGATCCGTTGGACCAGAGCCCAGGGCTATCGCAATGCTGACCTCTTCTCCTGCTGAAGGAGGTAGAAGTTTCAAGCTCACCCACAGTATGAGTCAATGGTTTATTGATTCATCTTCATTTTATTTTTTATTTATTTTAAAAATAGCTTACAGATTGCAATGTCAGTGTCATTTACTAAAAGATATTTTCTTCCCTTGCATATGAAATGTGTGCTTATCATATATTAAATATTAATATGTAAATGCATTTTTTGGGGGTGGGTATGGCTTCTTTTACATTTATCTCTTTGTAGATCTTGGCCCTGCCCTCCTATTGCTTAACTACATTTGCTTCATAATATGTTAATATTTTATTAGCTAAAGGTAAATTTTTTTCCATATTATCTTCTTCCCTATTTGTTTCAAAATTTAAAACCATCTGTCAAGCTTTAGGAAGGTTTCTCTGGGTTATTTCTTAGAATGATTTAAAAGTGAAACATTAATTTGAAAAAATATTATTTAATTAGAATTTTGTTATGCTTAATATCTGATGCCATTAAGAATGGAATGGGATTTTTAAATTTTATTTTCAAAATGGTTCTTGTTGGTATAAAAGAAAGGTATTGATTTGTGTGCTTATATTTTCTAATGGGACACTGTCCTAAATTCATCACCAATGAAACACAGATGTGGATGAAACTTGGGCTCCTTGCTGTGTGGCTACTCTGAACATGGGACCAAAACTATATTCCAGATCCAGCAGGGACAGCCTTAGGCCAGCCCTAGTTAGAGGATCCTCCCTGTTAATTAACTTAACTGTGTGTTTGTTCTTTAATTAACCTGTTCATTCAACAACTATTCAGTGGCCTTAGGAAACTAGTTCTTTTCCCCCAGAGCAGAAACAAGTTGGAGCAGAAGGAAGAGGTGACCAGAGAGGAAGACAGGAAAGATTGGCTCCTCCACAGTGGCTGTTCTACTGGTGAAAGCAGATGTCCCCTGAGTACCCGCTGGCAGGCACCCTTGCTGTGCTAGACCACACAGCCCTGTAGGAACATCCCCAGCAACCCTGTGGGAACAACCCCAACGGCTGGTTAGAGAACGATGCAGGGGTCCCTTTACATTGCCAGAAACCAGACAAAGGGTTGAACAACCCAGCAGCTGAAACTCCCGATGGGCTCTGAGTGTCACCAATGAGACATGCACCATTCAGCATGACTCTCTTGTGTGACCTCCCCCTCCCTGAGCCTCAGTTTCCTCTCTCCAAGTTGTGATCAGGAATGAATAAGCCAGCACAAGGGAAGCACCGGGTAAACCTGCCGCCCTCCCTGTCTCTAGGCCCTTCTCACACTGCTGTCGGGATGACTGTTCTGACATTCAACGCTGGTTTAGGCATGTACCACCGAAGTCCTCCAGAGCACCAACCATACCTGCAGTCAGCCTAACTTGCCTGGTGAGGTCTCCAACTGCATGGAGAGCCTCCACTTAGGTTACTTAAGTTAGCCCACATAAATCCTCCTTATAGCAGATGGGACACTGAGACCCAGGAGGAAAAGTTCCAGGGTCTTCCCCAAGGTCACAGAGACACCTCCTAAGGTTACATAGGTCCCTCCTAAGGTTATAGAGAAGCCCTCTCAAGGTCACAGAGTGACTCCCCAAGGTCACAGAGGCACCCTCTACTAGGTCCAGGACAGAGCCAGCCTAAGACCCCACCAGTATGGTACAGAGACTATGCTCTTCCCCCTCTGCCACACTATGGTCTGGGACCTCCTTGATGAGGTTGTGATTGACAGATGAGCCTGGCACAAATGTGCCCCTTAGTAGCCAGGCCCACACTGTGGTGGCCAACGGTCTTAGGGATTCTTTCACTGAGTCTGAAGCAGC